GAGGCAGTGTGGTGGCATGCAATGTCAATACCATCCTGGGCACGTTAATAGCAAAGATTACTGGTGTGTAGGAAAGGGAATTAGGTCAGGCAGGGAATCCCCCGCCTGCAGGCCAGGAAGGTAGACGTGTGCTAGAGTTGAAAGTTCTTCAAAGACAACTTGAGGGGTGAGCAAAGGCGTCTGTAACTAGAAATGGGGTGAGAAACAGAGAAAAGGCGACCTCAAAAACCACCAGGGATGTGCTCTGGTTAGATGCTTCCTACTAGATTTTATATAGTAGATACCATTTTCTTTTATATTCTATAGTCCATATAGTCCCTGCCTGGCAGACTCACTGGCATGGTCAAAACTCACTGATTTTCTTTTCCCTGGGGGGGTGGAGGGGGAGATAAAAACTAAACTGGCATGCTAGGTAGCAGTCAATTTAATTGGCAAATGTCCTCTGCCCCGAGAGGTGTGCATCAGAAAACCCAGAAATGTTGCTGGTTTTCAGATTCTTTCATACTAAAAATAAACCAAAGTTCTCAAGAACGGATCGGAAAGTGTTGGATAATGTTCAGGATTCAGCAGGGCACCAAATGGATTATCCAGACCACTTTGTACCCTGAATCGTTTTTTGAACTTGATTTGCAGAGATGCACTTGAAGAAATCTTTATGTTTATGATAGCTTCTTTTTTTTTAACACACACACATATTTTTAATAATTACAGCACAATCAACACTGTCCCCAGAAAGCTAGGGTCACCTTGAACGTACTGATTTTTCTTTCGGTGGTAAACAACTACATTAATATTTTCTTTTTAAAACAAATAAAAAGGCATATCTTCTGTGACATCCAGCTTTTAAAGCAGGCGTTAATGTTTGATCACTGTGTTTGATACGTGCCTACCTGGGGATAGCATATGTGGCAATGCACTGATTTTTCTCAGCGTTGCAAACACCTCAGTGCAGTTACAGTTTGAAATTTTTTGGCCTCAAGGTGGGACTTGGGAATCATGGCTCTCAGAATTCTCCCAGTTCTCCAAAGACCCATGTGTTACTTGTGACTTGGCCTCTACTCTGACATTTGTCCTGGGTGTTATGGGGACACTGGGGCCAGCAGGGAGGGACAGGAGCGTCTATCTGCAAGCCTGTTATGACTTTATTTTCCTGAAGGAGAAACCAAGGTATCTAAAGTTTATTGATTTGCCTATAGAGATTCAGCAAGTCGGCAGGGAGCAGGGAATAAAACCAATTTCCTGGCATCATTTCCCACGCGCACAACCCCTTACCTTGCAATGCCCAGACTGGAAGCCAAGAATCCATCTGAGGGAATTTGATCAGAAAACATATGAAGGGTGATTCTAAAACCACAGAAGCATCGAGAAAGTCATAAAGATGTATAATATATGATAGCATTTACCAGCTATAAATAGGGGAGACGCAGGGAGAAAAACAGAGACCTCGTAAATCCATTGGGTCAGAAGAAATAGAAACTGCTTAATATTTCATTAAAAATGGATTTTCATAAATTGCACTCTGATATCTTACGGCAAAGAAACAATATGTAAGAACCAAGGTGTTGTTATTCATTACTCTGTTATGAATAATTTGAACTGTTATTGAACCAACACATCAACAAGGTGTACTCTCCCTGTGAATGGGGCTCTCACCATGTGTCCTGGGCATGATTTGCAGCGTATCAAAAATCCATAGCACTTGTCCACAAAAGCTCTTAGGCTGTGAGGGTCAACAGGTAACTAAAATGCCCCTGACAAAGTGGACGCTCTTGTGAAGAAAGGCTTAGAAGCGGGGGGCCAGAGAGGACCTTACAAATCAACTCATTCAATCCCCTCATTTAGCAGAGGAGGAAATTGGGGCCCAAGGGAGGTAGAGATATTTGCCCACACTTATGAGCTAATTAGCAGCAGAGCCTGGCTAATGATTCAGTGGGCATTTTTTTGCTTTTGCTTCTACACCACAGTCAGAGTGAGAGCTGTGTTTAAAAATCTAATAAAGTAAGATGCTCTTCCTTTAGCCAAGGGCCCAGAGAACAGAGGGCAGATATGAAAACGGGTGGAGGGCAAACAAGAAACCAGTAAGGAGCTAGGCCCAGAAATGTGAAAGATAATTCAAAGCCACGTTGAAAAGATCCTTCCTCTGATGGCAGGGGTGGGAGAAGAGTGAACAGAATGAACAGCAGAGGGAAGTTCAACGTGAGCAGCCTGGGGGAGGGGGGATAAATGGTGCTCTTGCCTCCTTCCATGCCGGGCGCCCCTGCAGGCACAGAGCAGGGACTTCATCCAAAGCCTGTGGCCACACATGTCCTCCCTGGACACAGCCCACGAGAGTGCACAACCCCTGCCCACATGCAGCCCTGCTCACACCTACACCACCCTTCAAAGACAGCCCCAATACACAATCATTTCCTCCCTAAGGGAGGAGAGAAAAGGTTACTTGGTGTTGTCTGCCAAGGCTGAGAAATGAAGGGGTCAGATAAGATAAAATTGGATATTAAAAACACATAAGACGTGCTGTGATTCTAAACGGTACCAGCGTGGTGTGGGTGCTGAGGATTGGCAGCTGGGTTAAAGTTCACATCCACTCAACTCGTCAATTATGTATTCACGGGGCAAGCAAAGCTATTTCCCGCCAACCTGAACTCCTCGGCATCTCCTGAGGGAGGCCACACACAGCCCAGCACCGTCCTCAGGGAGCAGGCCAGTGGGGCCCCCACCACGCACACACTGCTCACAGCACCCATCTGAAATAAACAAAGCACTGCATTTGCTCCTTCCTCGCCAAAACAAGACAAAAAAACAAGCAAAAGACCTCTGCCTCGGATGAGTTCTGGGAGAACCGATTAATCTCTTTCCCTTGGATTCACTCCTCCCACCCCTGTCCTGACCGCTCAGAGCCCTTTATCAGCAGGGAGGGAACAGGGTCACCCTCTTCCCGTGGGCCTTCCCCCTAGTTTCTGGCCCAGCCCTCTGTCCTTCTTTCTCCTGGCCCCCTCTTTTTCCTGTGCTAACTTTGTCTTCCCACTCTTCCCCATCCTCGATCATTAAGCAGTATACTTGAACCCCGGGGAGGTGAATGGTCCACCAGTCCGTCCTCTGTGCTCTCTGCTGCCAACAGGGCCACAGGAGTAGAAAGTGATGGTCTTAGGAAAACGAAGAGCTTTTCAGGGGAGCAGAGGGACCAGCAAGCTGGGTAGGCAGGGTGGGAGCCCTCAGATTTGGCAGGCTTGGCACCAGAACAGTGGTTAAAACCAAGTATGGTGAACTGATGAAAACCTGTCTTCTTCTTTGTCCTGAGCAAGCTACTTCCCTTCATTTAGTTGTACAAGGTATGATGTCTTCCCCCACGTCAGTGATGTGCTACTAAGTGGTTCCAACCTTCAACCTTAGCACATGGGAAATACAGAGAGCTGAAGGTTGCCAAGGGATGGAGTTCCTGCAGAAGAAAGGACTATATCCTTAACTGGCTCCAAATTCCTATGCTGTTCCTTGCCATTATTCAAAGTCAGTCTAAGGTGGGATTATAAACTCATGCTGGGAGCACACCACCAGACAGCAACTCTATTTCCATTCAACCCATGCTTAGAGATCTTGTGGATCCATGACTCCTAGCCACTGACATAAGTACCTCAAATTTATTAAGAGATGAAAATCAACCTAGAAAACCACCAGCTTACAGCCTACAAACTTGGAAAGGGCCTTGGATGCAGACAAGCATCTCTGAGCCTCAGTTTCCTCATCAATAAAGTTAAGATAACAATACTTATCTTCTGATATGTTGCAGACGTAATGTGTTTACAGCGTCTGGTGCAGATGTATTTAAATACACCAGTCTCTGCACTGCTCTTGCCCCAGCCCTGCTGGTATCCTGAACATTAGGTATGTCCAGGCTGTTAAGAGCTAAAACATCAAGTTCCCCTATGCAGGAGACATCACTGGCTGTGGCAGAGCTGGCTATAAGTCGATTCACAGAGTCCCCTGTTGTTATACCAAGGACAGGTACAGAAGTGATGGTTGGTAGTTTGGGGGGTGAGTTTTTATAGATTTACACATGATGGTAGGCTGGTTGTGAGTTTTTATAGATTTAGAAGTGATGGTTGTTGGCTGTTCCCCTCTACCCTTATCCAGAAAAACCAAGAGAAATTCACATCTACTTGCTCCAGTTACTTTTTTTTTTAATGGAAACAAAACAAAAAGGAAAAAAAAAAAGCATAAGGTCCATATGGCAGTTATTGATTTGGGCCATCTGGTAAGCTAGGACTCGTTCCTACCATGTTGAATCAGAAGCCTCTCTGAAAAGCCTTTCCTCCCATAAGAGATGTATTGGTCAGATGGGGACCGGGATGGATTTCATTACAGGGTGGGGATTACAGCGAGAGGAAGCCAGAACAGGACTCTGAGGGACTGTCTGCAACCCTGACCCTGCAACGCAGACCAGAGAGAACCAAAAATGTGTTGATTGACACAGGGGTGCGCTGGGGGTGGGTGGTTCCCCCTTATCCTGTCACACACTGGTGGGGTGGGATGGCATCGAGTAACTAGCAAAAACAATTGTGAAGCACTTTATAATTACAAAATGCTCTTCAAGTGTTCCTGGGTGTGGAAGAAGAGGGAGTGTGAGTTCCCCGTCGTGAGTGAGATCTGCTAGTCCTAAAACATGCCGTGTATTTCGCTTTCATTTTTAAAGAACATTCTACTTTTTCCCCCTCTCTCTCTCTGCTTGTTTTCCTTTCAAGGCTCCTTCCTCTGCTTGCTCTCAGCCCAGAGGCAAAATGTTCCTTCCCTCTAAAAGTTTGTGTGAAGACCATTTATTGTTCTCAAGTTGGAACAATGTGACAAATTTTGTTTTACAGTGTTTCTTTTTAAAAGCCCCAAACAACAAACCCAGTGATTGTTTGTAAGCTTGAGGGAACTAAAAGTCAACAGAACTTTAAAGACCGCCTAGTGGCCAACCTACACACAGGGGCCTCAGTGATGCAGTTTTGTGTGTGACATTGCAGGTGTTTCAGGCCAACAGCGACGCGACCGAGGTGGTCCTGAACAAGCTGCACTCACCCCTGCTGACGCGGTTCGTCAGGATCCGCCCTCAGACCTGGCACTTGGGCATCGCCCTGCGGCTGGAGCTCTTCGGCTGCCGAGTCACAGGTGAGACAGGAGCTCCGATGAGGTTGGGGAACTGAGTACTTTCCCCAAAAGGACCAGCAGAAAAACTCAAGTCCTCCCCGCATTTGCCTTTCATGCATTCAGAATGTATTTGTCAAGTGTCTATTAGAAAACCTCTGCCAGCTAACATTTACAGAACACAAGCTATGTACCAGGTTTCATTCTAAGCACCTAGAGCAGTGTTTTTCAACCATTTTTTTTTAATCTCCCGGCACACTTGAACCTATAGTTAAACTTCCACAGCACACCTCAATTATGTCAATTTAAAAAAAAGAATATACTTACTGTGCTTTGAACTTCTCTAGAAAATAATTTAATTAATGATCTTTAAAAATTTCCAGGCATACCTAAGATCTTCTCACAACACACCAATGTGCCACAGCACATCAGTTAAAAATCATTGACCTAAGGTGTGTTATCTTTTTTTTCTTTTTGGAGACAGTCTCACTCTGTAGCTGGAGTGCGGCAGCATCATCATAGCTCGTGGCAACCTTAGACTCCTGAGTCCAAGTGTTCCTTCTGCTTCAGCCTTCCAATCCTGTGACTGTAGGCACACACCAATCCATGCCCAGCTAGTTTTTCTATTTTTAGTAGAGATGGTGTCACACTCTTGCTCAAGCTGGTCTTGAACTCCAGAGCTCAAGGGATCCTCCCACCTCAGCCTCCCAGAGTGCTGGGATTACAGTTGTGAGCCACTGCGCCTGGCCTGGATTATTTTTTATTATCCTCATAAGGACTCTGAGCTGTAGGTATTATTCTATTCTCCTCACTTTATAGATGAGGAAACCAAGACTTCAAGGAGGGAGTTCACTCAGACAGTAAGTGGCAGAGCCATTGTTTGAATCTAAGCATCTGCAGTCTAAAGCCCAGGCTCTCAGATAATATTCTCTACTGCCTCGAATGGGGGCCACAGTGCTCGGATAGAATGGTGGGCACAGCAGACCTAGTTCTGAGTGAGCATATGGACAAGTTGGGCAAACATATAATAACAAACAAACTCATAAATAAATATAAAATTAAAACTAGATGTACATCTAGAAACAAAGGCTTGTGATTCTTGGAATTGCACCGTAGGAGATCTGAGCCAGTCTGGGAGGTCAAGGAGGACGTCCTTGAGGAGGTGATGTTAAGCTGACTTTAGAAAGCAGACAGATGTCCCCTGGTAAAGAGGGAGGGAGAGTGCACCAGGCAATGGTCACATCTTGCTCAATGGCACTGTGCCAAGAGGGAATAAAGAAAAAGTGAGGGGGTGTGGGCACAGTATATGGGCTGAAACCCAAAGGGTACAGATTGGAGAGGACCAGAGTGGGAGTTGGGGCCCCTG